GCACTACGGTCAGGGACTCAACATCTACTGGCTGTTCCAGGTCCCCGTTCTATTAGACTCAGCATGACCAGGAACAGGGCGTTCTCGGTGGCGGCTCCTATCTGGTGGAATGAGCTCCCAGAGGAGATCAGGGCTCTGCGGGACCTAGCACAGTTCCGCAGGGCCTGCAAGACGGAGCTCTTCCGCCAGGCTTTTGAATAGGAGCCGCCACCACTAGTCCACCACTAGTCCACCAGCAGTCCATCATTAGTGCACTAGTGCACCACCATCGCACTAGCTACCATCTATCCCCCATATATGGACATCAAGATGGGGCATGCACATCTAGTTGCTGCATTATGGGCGAGAACGGGATGGTCAGGGACAGTCATCTTGCTTTTAGAAATTTTAGAATTTGTACAGATTGTATAATTTGCTAGGCATCAAAATCTGTTTTAAATAGGGTTGTAATTTAATATTTTGTATTGTTTTAGGGTTTTATCTGGCAATATGCCCTGTAAGCCGCCCTGAGCCTCCGGGGAGGGCGGGATAAAAATGTGAATAATAAATAAATAAATAATAAACTGCAGGCTGTAGAAGGTCGGTAGTTCAGCAGTTCGAGACCTGAGTTGCCGCATAACGGAGTGAGCTTGCGTCTCTAGTTCCAGCTCCTGCCAACCTAGCAGTTCGAAAGCAGGAAATTGCAAGTAGATAAATAGGTACCACTTCAGTGGGAAGGTAACAGCGTTCCGTGCGCCTTGGTGTTTAGTCATGCCAGCCACATGACCACGGAAACGTCTTCGGACAGCGCTGGCTCTTCGGCTTTGAAACGGGGATGAGCACCGCAACCCTAGAGTTGGATTCGACTGGCTTTCGAGCAAGGGAACCTTTACCTCTACTTTACTTTTACTCATAGGAAAGCATTCTTAGGTTGCACTGTAGGGGCCTCTGCCACTGGTTTAGTTGTAAGGTCGATTACAATTTGGTGGTAGTTCTGTATTTTTACTGCCATCCACCTGTGGCCTGCTGCTGCAGTTTCATATGTTTGTGAGAGAATAACTATTAGGCATACACAAAATTCCCATTTGTGAGGGATGGGAAGGAAGCAAAGGATGGTTGGTTTGTGCAGATACATTGTCCTCCTTTGGAATTAATGAATAAAAGATTTGGGAAGTCCCTGGCTGTGAACATACAGTAATACTGATGGTTTTATATAAACAAGGTGGGCAGAAAGATGAAAGGCTTCTTCTAAAATTGCAATACCTGACTGTGATAGATCCAGGGCAGGTGAATACATGGAGATGTGGTTCTTCAAATAAATAGGTCCCAGGCAATACTCCTAAGCCGTGGAGTCTTGTGAGCAAAAATTCTACCTTGTGAGCTACTGGCATTAAAACTGTGAGTGAGCAATTTGGTTACTGCATAAATTCGTTTGCTCTGGAGCCATCCTTCCTGAGCCAAGACAAAAATGTGTGAGCTGGAGGCTAAAAAAACTGTCAGCTAGCTCACACTAACGCAACTTAGAGGGCACACTGGTCCCAGGTAAATACTATATATAGACTATATAGTTTCAAAATTAGAATTGTATGTTCACAGCGGCCATTGTAAATGTGCTGCTGCATTTGTACCCAAATATCTTCAAGGGCAGAACCACACAAAAAAGTAGGGTGGCAGTTTGACATGGAAAGTGAGGGTTGGGAGGAACAGGAGGAACTGGGGATCCTGGTGGGCTACCCTTCTTTGGTGCAATGAAAGGCATTTAAGAAAATATGGGGAAGGTAAGAAGCAAACCTAAGAGACAGCGACAGGAGGATGCAAATGGAAGGGTGAAAAAGAAAGAAAATTACAGTCAAAAGGTTATTTCAGTGTGAGGAAATAGGGAAGTGAGAGACAAACCTGGAATGGATGGGCGGGCATTAGAAATATGCAAATAGGAGAGGGGAATGAAAGCTTCAAGTCTTAGGCAATGATAAGAAGGCGCAGAAAGACCTGGAATTTGGGGGGGAGGGGAAGAAGAAGAGAAGAAAGATCAACTGAAGCCGCCCGATGATTGAATGTGTAAAGGGGTGATGGTGGTTTCTGTTGGCTGTCTTGTTTTATCCTACACATTAAGAAAAATGGTTGAGGAGAGCACAAGCATTTCACACCCCTTTCAAAACTCTCATCCATCCATTTTTGCTCCTTACCAACCCCGCCCATTGGTATAAAGATTCTGCCGCACCCACTGTAGTCCTCCCCTCAGAGGCCACCATTGTCTGGTGGCCATCATTCCTGAAGGAAATCAGTCAAGGAGATCAAAGGCTCTCATGGGCCCGCCAGGTGTGCCGCTGCCCTCAGGTCTTTGGGGATATCCAGCCCTTTCCTGCTCTCCACCCCCACCCCCGCCAGTCACCAGAGTGACAAAACAGACTTTCCATTGGCTAGCTGGGGAGTGTGTTTGTGTATGAAGAACAGTTGCTTTGAAAGTGCTGACCTTTCCCCCCACAGTACTTTCCCCGTAAACATGCTAGCACCGAGATGCTTCAGGTGTGCTTGATCTGCCCTTTCCACAGGTGGATCAGCTTTCCTGCGTTGGGGACAGAAAGCTGCAGACTGATAGGAGCCAGGCCATCCGGGAGAGGCTGAGAGGAAGAGGTCTTCCCACAGGTAAATGTTTGGCAATGAAGGGAGTATTCGTGTTTGTGAACATTTAGTCTGCTTTTTAATCTTCTGCCTTCCAGATAAGTATGGCAAAGGAGGTAAGAGCTCCTCCTTATTTTCTGACTAGACTGACAGGTTTTTGCCTCAGAAGGCAGATTATTGTACCTCTTTGCCAGATGCTACAGATTTATAAATTATTTATTTAGGGCATTTATAACCCACCTTCCTCTGAAATCAGGCTCAACAAGTTGAGAGGGCGGTCTCAAAAGCCAATTTGCGGAATTTCAACAATGTGGAAGTCTTCCTAACAACTTCAGGAAGGCTGTTCCTTAAAATAGGAGTAGCCACTGAAAAAAACTTCTAGATCTTGACTGTGAGAGTCCTAACATCCTCCAGGAGAGAGTAACCAACTGGTGTTAGTCTGGGGTGTGAAGCTATTACACTGGTTGGTACTGAGGGCCCTTCTAGAAAGAACAGCGCTGTTCTAAAACATGACTTTCCAGAGAGGAAATTACTTTAAACTGTGTTTGGGGGCCCAGTTCTGGTTGGGACCACCAAAGCATGGGGGCAAGAGGGGATCCTGCCTTCCACCAGTGCTGTTTTTCCTCCCTGAAATCACACTGGCCATATTCAGGCAGAACAGTACAGGCAGGGAATGCATGATCCCCACCTCCCCCGATCCACAGTGGTCCCTACCAGAACTGGATGCTGTTGGCGCAGTTGGCAGGGAACTCACTTTTTAAAATGGCAGCACATCCCTGGGTTGAACCGGGGGATGCCCATCATGACTAGATGGGCCTTGAGAAAGAACTGCAAGTACCTATTTACTCAAAAGGAAGCATTCTCTTTAGGGCAGCTCTGTGTAGAGTGCATTGCAGTAGGGCTGAGATTACTATTGCATGGAAATCTGGCCAGATTTTCTGGGTGGAAGAACGGGGCCAGCCACCGGATGTATCTAACAGAGGGCACTTCTTGCTACATCCTCATCCTTTTTCTCCAATAAAAGAGATGAGTCTAAACCCACCCTTCAAGTTCTTCCCCTATCAGATTTGTCTTACAGGGAAAATCTTACCCGACCAGAGCTCTAGTTGGGGATAAGAGCATAAAAACATAAGAGAAGCCATGGCTGGATCAGGCCAATGGCCCATCCAGTCCAACACTTTGTGTCGCACAGTGGTCAAAACCCAGGTGCCATCAGGAGGTCCACCCACCAGCAGGGCCAGATCTGAACACACATGGGGTGTGTGTGTGTAAACCAACTCACAGTGAAGCAGTTTCTTGGCTCCTTCACCACAGCAGGGGTGTGTGGATATTTATTTGCCAAATTAGTAAAGTTCTCCTTAGACATCATGGCAGACCAAGATAGTACATTACACAAATGAGCCTCGAGCTCATGTGGTCCCCCTTCTCCTTGGGCATTACAGTTCCTTCCTACACTGCCTTTTTCTCAGCAAACAGTATTTGCCATTACATCTAAAGTGGGCCAGATGGGTTGGATTCAGCGCCGAATTTCTGCTTGGGCTGGACCTTGTGCTTGGGGGAATTGACATCATAAGTTTGGTTTTGTGTGCCATCTGACTTCTTCAACCAAGTATTATGAAGATGGAATATCCAATAAAAGTGGAATATATTGGACTATTAAGATAGTGCAATGCTCAAAGCGTTGAGATTTACAGTGAGCGTGTATAGGCTTATGACAAGTTTCTTAGACAAATATTCAATATTAAGAATATTTTACTTCTTTTTCTTTCCTTCCAGAGGCAAGCCATGTTAAAATATTTAGCTAATTATTTGTAGCACACTCACTACAATAGCACCTGCGGGTCTGAATGATAGAACTGTTGTGAGAGTAGCACTGTTAAAATAGTGCAGTTGTTAAAATGACTATAAATAATGTAAATGTCACTTAATAATTTAATTGTTCAGATATACAGTATTATTAAAGTAGTGTGAGAAACTCCATAAATAAATTCCCTCAAACAAACGAACCAGGGACTACTCTGAAGAAACTGGTCTGATTTTTGAGGCGGTTGCTGCCTGTTAACAGTGCAGTAGTGTCAGTGAGGGCAATTGATTAGGTGTTATGTAACTGCATGCCCATCAATGTGCTTTATCTTTGACAGTTTGGGAATAATAGCTATATTTATCTCTCTGAGAGAATTGTGTTCCATCCCTTTAATGCACCCCTTGACCCTTGGCATTTGTTTCCACGAAGAAACAAAACACATTTCCATGCTCATGCACATAATCTCCCCTCAAAGTTTCCATCTCTGCAAGCCGTAATTGGAACACTGCATCGGAACAAAGTTCAAGGAATGCCTGAAGATTCTTAGTATTGCTTGGCTGAATTGATGCAGATGGATCTGTTGGGCCACTTTGTTAGGGGCGTGGGCAGGGTTTTATGGAGTAGTTGCATTTTTTAATCCCGTGAGAGGAACGCCAGAGAGCTAAAGATGAGACAACAGATGCAGCCCGTGGGCTGCTGTTCAGAGTCAATCCTGTGTTGTGCTTTTGAGAAGCAATTTGAACTGGATGTTGTGATTTCTCAAAAGCAAACAAAGGCTCCTTTGAAAGTATATAAGTCAAAAGAAGGCACTGTTTTACGTGCTCCTGATAACGGGAGGCAATGTAGTACCTTTCAGTGGCACACATGTACCTTTTAGGTATGCAGAAATTTGTATCTTTCTTACAGAACTAATGTATATACTCCGAGAATGTCTGAATATCCAGTGGAGAAGATGTTTCCCGCGTTACATTTTCTCTACATTTTTCTTTTGCTCTGACCATTTTAAGACAGGACTTTTACATCCTGTTTGGCTTCAGAGAGACATTTGAACATCTATTGGTGGTTTTATTTTTCAATTGGATGCCTTCCCTGTTTTGTTTTTGGCTTCTTGTTCCCAGCATACCAAGGGTGCATCCTGATACCAGGCGGCCACATTCTGTGTCTAGTGAAGCCAGCGAAAGAATTCTGCACAGGGTAGTGACAAAGACGCCTTAAGACTATGGCCTGAAAGGGGTTTTTCTTCCCATCTCCCCCCCCCCTTGTTTTTTAGCATTTAGCCTGAGGAACAGTTCTGAAGAACTGGAAAGAAACTCGCATGCTATATTGTGTTATTTTGGCTGGACTCAATGAAAGCCATTACATGACTTGTTTTCAGACTATTATTGTCGAGACCCAGGCTCTAATTCCCACCTTAGGTAATTTAGGACTAAACTTCAAGATACGTGTACTTCCCTGGACCCAACTTACTTTCCCTGCATCTGCTGTTCATTTTAAAAATTGGCGGGAGCCCAAATATGACTTGGAACTGCGGTATGGGGGAAGGAGGGGCTCCTGCCTCCCCCCCCACACACACACCATATTCCCAAGCCAAAACTGCCCAAGCAGAGAGAGTTCATGCAGTTCTAATGCGGGAGATAACCCCGGAGCCATTTTGCCTTGGGAAAATGGCACGGGGGGAGGGGGGAGCAGACACTCTGCTGCTGGTCACAGAGAAGTCAAGCTTGATCCCGGTAGAATCCAGCTGCTGCTGGATATGATGCCATCATCATTATCCTTCAGTGCAGACAAGAAAATCCAGGAGGTCAATGATCACAATTAGCGCACCATTCAATGATGTGTGAATCCGGATTCTATCTGCATAGCACCTTCCTGGATTTTGTTTCTTAGTTATGCTGGATGGAACCTTGGAAACTGGCTTTGGTCTAATAAAAATGATTTCCCTAGCATTCCTTCCAACTAGGGTTACCAACCTCCTGATGGCACCTGAAGATCTGTTATTACAGCTGATCTCCAGACTACCAGGTTCAGTTCCCCTGGAGAAAACCGGCTGCCTTGGAGGATAGATTCTATGGCACAATATCCTGCTGAGGTCCCTCCCCTTCCCAAACAGTCCCCTCCCCAGACTTCACCCCCAGAATTTCCAGTTATTTCCCAACCCAGAGCTGGCAGCCCCACTTCAAAGCCCCCTTCCCCGGCATCATGACCAAGAAACAGAACCTGGGGTGGTGAAGTGGACAGAGGAGCTGATCAGCGTAATTCACAGGGCTGTGCCTGCCCCAGTGTTTCCTCTAAGCTGAGTTAGGAAGGATGGAAGGATGGCTCCAGAGCAAACTAATTTATGCAGTAGCCAAATCACCTGCTCACAACTTTAATGCCAGTAACTCACAAAGTAGAATTTTTGCTGACAGGACTCCACAGCTTAGAGGGAGTATTGGCCTGCCACCACCACCACCACCCCGGTTGGATTAGGGCTGCAGTTTATTATATCTTCCAGTTCCAGCACATGCTTAAATTCCTTCCTGGCCCCAAAGTGGCAATTGGCATGACTCTGGGCACATAAGAAAGAGCCACAAGAGCCAAGCTCTGGCTCATCCCTTCCTGCCCTCCCTCTCACGATCTGCCTATATTCATAGTGAGTCATGGAATCAGTACTGCTGTCAGATGGCCATCTAGCCTTGGTTTAAAAACCTCCAACGATGGAGAGCCCACCACCTTCCGAGGAAGCCTGTAATGGCTTACAATTGTATTTGCCTGCAAGTACCTGGCAAATGGTTAAGTGGTTAAGACGCTGAACTGCAGGCTGGGGAAGGTCGGTAGCTCAGCAGTTCGAGACCCGAGTGTGCCGCATGACGGAGTGAACTCCTGTCTCTAGTTCCAGCTCCTGCCAACCTAGCAGTTCGAAAGCAAGAAATTGCAAGTAGATAAATAGCTACCACTTCAGTGGGAAGGTAACAGCGTTCCGTGCGCCTTAGTCATGCTGGCCACATGACCATGGAAATGTCTTCGGACAGCGCTGGCTATTCGGCTTTGAAACGGAGATGAGCACCGCAACCCTAGAGTCGGATTCAACTGGCTTTCGAGCAGGGGAACCTTTACCTTTACCTTTTTACCTGGCAAAAGAGCTCATTTTCAAACTGTATACTTTCCACAGCTTAAAAACATTGATGTATCTGCCGTATATAATACTGCACATCTTCAAGATAAATTCTTTTCATTCCAGGAAGAAGTTCAGCAGTTGATGCTCCAGACATTCACAAGAGGCAGGTCTCTCAACTGGCCACATTTAACAAAGGGCTTAGCAAATCGATGGGGGTTTTGTCCATCAGAGGCTCACAAGATGAAGAAGAATTTTGCCAAGGCCTTTCCTCCAATTACCACTCTGGTCACGAAGATGCCACAAATACTTGCTGCCCATATCGGTGTAGAGCTGCAGACTTGGAGAGGAAAGGTAACGGAGCCGACACCCGTCCCAAACGAAAAGTTTGGGCTTCCTCCTCAGACTTGCTGTCCACGACTGACTCAGTGATTGAGAGAGACCATGTTGGGAATTCTCACAGGCGGCCCTACCATCACGCAGAGACGGTTGCGGCACGGACTTCAGCAGCTGCTAGAAGCAGAGAGGGAAGATATTCCGATGGGAACATAGCCCTTGATCTCTTTGGTCCTCAAAAACTAGATCAGGTGCGCCACGTGCAAGAGTTTTCAACATCTGTGGCCATTTCAAGTGCCTTTGACAGGATCCGAGAGAGGCAGAAAAAACTGCAGCAGCTGAGACAAGCCATGGATGCCGAAGGTCAGCGGGTTTTCTGATATGCCGTGTTCAGTTTTATTTACTTACATTTGTTAGCCTGTTCTGAAAATTTCAAAGCTGCATACAACAGAGTTTTCAATATCCCGGAATTATAGAGTTGTCAAAACATGACCCTTAAATGGGCAAATAATTGAAGGGCCAAAGGTTACCCATTGAACTCTGTGGGAGAGGGGGTGTTTGAACCTTGGTCTCCACACCCTGGTCTCCAATCCTTTAACCACAATACTGTATTGGCCATGGCTTTCTGGTAGTTGCTTGACTTGAAATGCAGCCATACATAGTATCAAGGAATAGTGATCTGTGTGAAAAAGATGCTAACACTGGTTCAATAAAGACCAAAGCTTAGATACAAATACAATCATATAAGCACAATCAAGTCCAATCTTAAAGTAGAGAAGTTTCCTCTTGAGATAAAGACGTATGAAGAATGATAAACGAAGAATCCGGATATTAAGAGCTCCGTTTCAAAGAACTTCCTCAGTAACTAAACATGGAAGAAATTACATAATAACAATAATAACACATACAGTGTAACGTAAAATAATTACAGTAGTAACAAGATATGTGTAAATACCTGAAACAGTATATCTTCAAATAGGTTACATGCACTCTTGTGAGTTACAGCAACACATCTCCTGTGTTAAAACATGTAAGTCAAGTACCATAAGTATAAACATAATATAACCTGGAGTATAGAAGAATAACAATGACAAAAATTAGCAAGAAACTTACATAAATGGACAGTTGTTGACAGCACATCTCAGGAAAAGCTCAAGGCTTAACGTTACACTTACTTCCATAATTACTGTCTCTACAGACTAGCAACAAGTATCACCTATATAGAAATAATATAAGCTGGAGTATAGAGGAATAATGATGACAAAAAGTAGCAAGAAACTTACATAAATGGGCCATTATTGACAGCACACCTCAAGAAAAGCTCAAGGCTTTACATCACACTTCCTTCCATAATTACTGCCTCTACCAGCTAACAACAAAAAGCACCTATATAGAGACGATGTAAACTGGAGTATAAAAGAATAATGGTGACAAAAAGTAGCAAGACACATAAATGGGCAGTTATTGACAGCACATCTCAGAAAAAGCTTAAGGCTTTACATCACACTTCCTTCCATAATCACTGCCTCTTGAGATGTTCTAATTTTTGTCATTGTTATTCTTCCATGTTTAGTTACTGAGGAAGTTCTTCGAAACGGAGCTCTTAATATCCGGATTCTTTGTTTATCATTCTTCATACATCTTCATCTCAAGAGGAAACTTCTCTACTTTAAGATTGGGCTTGATTGTGCTTATATTATTGTATTTGTATCAAAGTTTTGGTCTTTATTGAACCAGTGTTAGCGTCTTTTTCACACAGATCACTATTCCTTTGTATACCTACACTGTGTGTTCCTCTTTGGTTGCTGCCATGCATAATATCATCAGATCTTAGTTTAGTCTAGGCAATTTTGTCTTTACATTCACATTACAAAGCAATTTAGCTTCTCCCCACTATGAGACTTGTATGTGAAAGGGCTCTGGAGTGTGAGCCAGAAGTCCTTGGTTCAAATCATGGCTCCTGTATGAATTCATTAGGCAGCTTTATACAAGCTCCCTGTCTATAATATGGAGGTGACGGTATTGACTGAACTTACAGAAATGTTGTAAAGATTACTGTGACAACGTGCAAAATGATAGTTGAATACGCAAAGGTGTTATATAAAGGCTGAGTATTGTTCAAGTCTTTAACTTACAATACCAGGCCTGTCTGGCCAACTCCTCCCTTTCCCCCCTTGCCTGAGCTGAGCAGGGACTGGTAAGCTAGAATTAGAATGACTAGGAGCAGTGGCCACTGTCCACTTGGCTTCCCTTTCTATATGTATTGTGGCAGTAGACCACTGGGGAGACAGTCCCTTTTTGGCATAAAAAATGAGGGAAATGGTTTTCTTTTTTTCTTTCATTGTATCTAAGGAAGTGAACTCTGACTCACCAAAAACTCATGCTTAGTCTTTAAGGACTTTTGCTTTGTTTTGCTACAGTAGACTAGCTCCTCTGGAAATGAATATCATTCTACCTAGGTTAAGTTTCAAAACAAGATTATTCCTATGAATTGAAAGTAAACAGGGCCAGCATCAGGAATCAACACTGTTAAAGCAGCCTTTGGAAGGATGGCCACTGTACAGCAGCGGCAGTGATCTCACCCTGAATCTGGGTTGGTGGCATTGGGCCTCTCCAGAAGAATTGCCACCCTGGAAAGGTGGGATCTGCTGAAGATGGGGGTCTTCATACACCTTTGTCTTCCTTCGGCGGGCATGTGTGACTATAGGTAGAGGCAGGGGCTTCTGTTATTCCTTCCATCCTTCTGTACCAGAGGGCAGACAGACAGAGTAAAATTATTCTCCTGCCTCACCCTAAATACGTTAACATTGCTGTCCTCTCTCTATATATTGTGGCAATAGAGTACCAAGAAGATGATCCATTGCATGGCAATCTTACTGTGGTTTACCCATCTCTCAAAACAGCTGTAAATATAACCTTCCCACTCTTTGTACACATGCAATTTGTAAAACTAAGGAGAAAATCACTCCCGGTATTTAGGGCGAGGCAGGAGAATAATCTTACTCTTAAAATGTTTGATGAAGTGTGTGTGGGTTTGTGATTGTACTTACAAAGGCCTAGCCCAGCCTTCCGATGAGCAACAGTTTGATCATTCCTAACTCACACAACTTTTGGGATACCAAAAACACATGGTTACATCTTTTACTCCGAAACCCTTCCTGATTTTTGCAAGTGCCTGGAACTGCAAATGGAAATCAGGCTTAGATATGCTGGCTCTTCCTGTTTGAGCTGCTCATTGGCAAATTTGCTGTGAGCATGCAGCTATAGATTTAGGCCCTTTCCACATTTGCCTGCCACTCTGGATCTTCTCAGTGTTTGTGTCGAGGCAATTTAAGTCCGCGGCAAAACAGCATTCGAAAAATGGGCAACAGCAGGCTGAAGCTGGGCTGACCACTGAAAGGAGGTAACGTAATGCAGAACCGGGGGGGGGAGGGGGAATCCAGAATAAAAAGAAGTTTGAATTTGATTTTAGTGCAGAACTGGGGGGGGGTTGGACAGAATAAAAAAGTTGAATTCAATTTTAGTGCAGAATTGCTTGGAGGACACCATGGTGAACATGGATTAAAAGGCGAGTGAAGAAAGGGCCTTAGTCTACCTTTTCCACAATCAAATTTCTGACTCCATTTCCATTGTAAATACGTTGCCTGAGATATTTGACATACATTCTAGCTTTTCAAAAAATATCCCTTTAGTTTATCCCTGTGTAATGTTTTGTGTACTCTTCCCGGTACAATGCATTAACAAGAGAGGGAAGAATTTGAACATGACAGGGAAAAACATTGACATTGTCATGATTTTAATTTTGCTGACTCTAGAAAGATACCCCCCAGCCTCTCTCCTTAACCACCTCTCAGCTGATAAGGTAGTCATGCCTTAGAAGACTCCTCCGGCAACAACAAGAACCGTGAAAGTAATATCAAAATGGTTAAAATACCATGGTATTTCTGAAAGTGTTTACTTCAGAGTCACTGTTTTGGAGGAGTAGCATTCACCCGTAGAAAAAACTAATCAGGGTTTGCTCAGTAAGGTAAAGGTAAAGGTTCCCTTGCTCGAAAGCCAGTCGAATCCGACTCTAGGGTTGCGGTGCTCATCTCCGTTTCAAAGCTGAAGAGCCAGCGCTGTCCGAAGACGTTTCTGTGGTCATGTGGCCGGCATGACTAAACACCTAGGCGCACGGTTTGCTCAGTACTCCAGAGTTATTATCCTCTGTTTAAGTCCATATTGTTACAATAGTCACTTGCCTATACAATTTGTAACTTGATTACTTAGATGTATCAGTGAACAGTCTATATAATTTGTAATTGGATTACTTAGATATAGAAGAAAATAATATAAGGGTGGTGTTTTAACTATTTTGATATTAGTTTCACGGTTCTTGTTGTTGCTCGGTGCCTACTGTGAAGCTCATTTTTCATGCAACTATTCTTTAGGAGACTCCTCCATCACGGCGGCTACCCAGTCTCCTTCCTCTCCCCGTGTAGTCACTACGTGGGGAGAGTTAAGTCTCCATCCCCAGACTAGATAAGACATGGTATGATATTTAGAACTGAACTATTATATGCCTTATGGCATTTCTAGAAGATGTGATCTGTTCTTATGACTTGAGTGAGGGTTTGGGCCTATGTTTGAATGTCATGGCCAGTTGGAGCTTGATCAAACCAGGAGGTGTTCAGTGAAGCTCTGCGGGCGAGAGGAGGAGGGAGGGGACCTCGCAAGCACAGCAAACAGTGTTTGTGCCGATGCCAACAAGCCTTTGTTTAGTTAGAGCTTGCTTGCTGTGATGTCTGAGTGCAGCTAGTAGCTGAAGCAAGAAGCTTCTTATTCACAAATATGTTCGGCTGGATGCTTCTGCTGGATGCGGAGTTAGGCATTCAAACACTCCCATGAAAACTTGGCTGTCATCCCAGTTTCTGCAGCAGACTTCAGCCCTTTGTATTACATCATCTTGTGCATTCTAATATGTTGTGAGAACCAGATTTGACCAGTGAATACTGTCAGGCTGGGCCCCATGGAGGGCTTGGACTTTGTGTTTGGACTTGGGCAGGTCTCGGGCGGCTTCTCTTCTGCAAAATGACGTCATTGTATGCAGTACTCCCTCTAAACCGTGGAGTCTTGTGTGCATAAATTCTACTTTGTGAGCTACTGGCATTAAAGTTGTGAGCGTGCGATTGGGCTACTGCATAAATTAGTTTGCTCTGGAGCCATCCTTCCTGAGCGAAGACAAAAATGTGTGAGCTGGAGGCTAAAAAACTGTGAGCTAGCTCACACTAACTCAGCTTAGAGGGAACACTGGTTGTATGTGCCATGCTGGAACCAAAACAATACTCTGCATGCAGAAAAGTGGAGTGCCTTGTTTTATTGCT